GTTCGAGGCAGTGCGAACGGAGATGCCCGTCCTTAACGTGGAGAATGTCGTTGATGAAATGTGTCGAGAGGAGGACTCTTGGAATGCCGTCAGCAGGGCAGTAACGCAGATTATGTCAGAGCTGCAGCGTAAATGGAGAGAAGAGCAGCGATCTAGCAACGCCAGCTAGCGCTGAGAGTACGACAAGTGCATGAACACAGCCACCCCCCGAAGTAGTCGCTTCACAGTGGTCCCGGGGGGATCCAGGCAGAGGAGAGAGTAAGGAATGGGTTTTAGTGGAGCTGCACTAGGCAACTAGTGGATACCACACCGTGCCACCTTCACTACAGGCCAGGCTTCTTGAAGCTTTCCTAAACCTTATTATTAAAAAAAAAAAAAAAAAAAAATACACACACAAATACACACACACACACACACACACACACACACACACACACACACACACACACACACACACACACACACGCACGCACACACACGCACACACACACACACACACACACACACACACACACACACACACACACAGACACACACACACACACACACACACACACACAGACACATATATACACACACACACACAGAAACACACGCACACACACGCACACACACACACACACACACACGCACACACACACACACACACACACACACACACACACACACACACACACACACACACACACACACACACACACATACACACGCACACACACACACACACACACACACACAAACACACACATACACACACACACACATACACACACACACATACACACACACGCACACACACACACACACACACACACACACACACACACACACACACACACACACATACACACACACAAACACACACAGACACACACACACACACACACACACACACACACACGCACACACGCACAGACACGCACATACATACACACACACACACGCACGCACACACACACACACACACACACACACACACACACACATACACACGCACACACACACACACACACACACACACACACACACACACACACAACACACACACACACATACACACACACACATACACACACACACACATACACGCACACACATACACATACACACACACACACACACACGCACACACACACACACACACACACACACACACACACACACACACACACACACACACACATACACACACACACACACTTCGTGTTTCAAACTCGCTCAGAAATAAAACAGAATAGTCGAGCAGTTGCAAATCTGGTGCAAAATAGTGCTCGAATAATGAAACTGCAACTCAGCATTGCGAGAGGTGCGTTTCTGTTCTAGTTTCAAATTGAAACAATCCTTATAAAATACAACAGCATTGCGAACGGCCGAATGGAACTCTGTTTCAAATTTCTTTGTATGTATTTAAAGATGTTTCGAAGAGCTTCACAAACAACTCTATGAACTTCATAGAAAACAGTAAAGTTTATGGAACTTGATGATTACAAACATCTTTTAGAACTGTGTGTTGCGCTGATCGTGTTGCAGTTTTATTTTTGACAGTTTCAAATTATAGAATTGTCGAGGAGTTTAAAACAATTTTGAAACTCAGCATTGCGAACGGCCTTACTACACCAGTGCAGTGTAGCAAAAACGAAAAAGTCATAAGTCGAACAACCAAAACTCTCACTAGAAAAAAAAAATAACCGAAAATTAACGCATAATTTAGACACGAATCACACATGTGGTTCTGAATATGGACCAACAGGCAGATAAATTCTATTCTAACTTTTTACTGTTAGAAGCTTGTTGGCCCAGAAAAGGGCCGTTTTGTTGCCAAAGTTGGTGATGATTTAACCTCCGAAACTGTACAGAGTTCGTCTGTCACTTCAAAGCGTAGATGACATCGAAGGCCGCTTACGCTTGGCGTGTTCAGTATAGGTGACAGCATCACAGATCACATTTTCCAAGAACACCTTCAGCACACCTCGTGTTTTCTCGTAGATCAGACCGGAGACACGTTTAACACCGCTACGGCGAGCCAGACGACTGCTTTTGCTCACCACGGCGTCCGAAGCGAAAGTGAGTTGAGGCTAGACAGCAGCGCTCTTTTATATCTTTTCAGGTTAAAGCAGAATGATGTGCAACCAAGTGGTACTCGATTATGACGACTGCGTTTGGGAACAACGTTTATTTTATGAAAACAGTGAAAAAATTATCACTTTTATTTGTGCTTTGGATAATGCTAGACATTACCACTTTTTCAATAGTTTCTTGAGGAAAATCATCAGTTGGAAGCATTGCGTAGACATATTTCTGATCGATTGGTAATAAAACTATTGAAATTGATCCAGGGGCAGCTGAGTTATTAATGTTCAAAATCTTTCATAATTTTGTTTCATGTTCCATTTTCGGTTTTCACAAAGTGTACCCCAGTATAGAATTTCAAGACGTAGTCCTGACGTCAAAAAAATCACAAACGCTTATAGATTTCGACCACCGTTTAATAAAGTGAACCACATTTTCTCGTACGATAAAAAGACAAAACGGCGATCGAGAGCACGGACCGCAAACAATTTTCGGAAAAAGGAAATAATAAAAAAATACAGAGAGCTCCGCGACACACGTCCGTTTTACACCGCGCTCCAACCGAAACCGTTTTATAAATTGTCATTGGGTTCAAAACCAGAGTATTTTCAAACGATTCTGGCTTGTGTTACCTTTGGACTAATATCACATTCGGGGCTAGTGAGGTTCAGGCAAATATCATTCAGGCTAATGTAAAAATCTCTGGTCACGTCTTCCTTCGGAAGGCAAAGTACACCATTGATACTGGCCCATGTGTGTGCACAGCAAAAGAAATTTTAAAATTACATCCAAGAGGATGCACTTCAATCATGTCGAAAATCTCATGTAATTTTTACGGCCACAAAAATAAACTTATGCAGTAAAAGCAGCGTAATGTCAGTTCATGCACTGTATTAAAGATATTTTTGTCCTTTTTGGCAAGTAATATTACACCATATTTTCGACACTATTGTAGTTCATCCACTTTGATGTGACATTAAAATTAAGTTTTTGCTGTGTGTTGAATGGGTGCGATATCCTACGCAGGTGTCGATTCGATTGCCGTCAATGAATGGCAATCGATGTTCGTCGGTGATTGGCACTAGATTGCGGAACAGAGGCTGACGTTAAATAAAGGGAAAAAAATCCTCGATAAACTCCCGAAATTCTGTTTTGTGTAGCCAAGATAAAGCATTAATAACTTTCGGCTTCGTTTCGGGACTTACCACTATCTTAAGGTGATTCCTTGTAGGGTCCGCAAATGGCTATACATGCACTTCCACTTCGAATTTTCAATTACACAAATCTCGGAGATCAGTGCCCCATTTCCTTTGAAATTGCTACTTGGAGTAACAATTTAAATTTTGCACGTGTCGTAGAAGCTGATGTGTGCACTTAAAGCTTCGAAGTGGTTACGAGAATAAAGAAGTCACAGCGAATCACCTTAAATGAGACGAAATACAGTGTCGACAGTGGCCTCTCTTTGAGACCAGATGTTTCGTTTTTTACCTGTTAGCGTTACCTATTTTGGTTATACATGGAAGCTTTATGAAGATCTTTGAGTGTGTTGGTTCCGTTATAATTGCTTATCTGTTGACAGATACGCGTATTTCGTCTACTACTTTCAGACTTCTGCAAGTAGTAGATGAAATACGCGTATCTGTCAAACGATCAGCAATAATAACGGAATTTAAAGGAAATAAACCAACACACTCAAAGCTCTTCATAAAGGGATTCCGTTAAGAGGTTCGACAAATTTAAAAGAATGGTAGCTTTGTTATACGATGGAAGAATCATGAGACGTTAGCCTGTACCATAAATATTTTTATTCTGTCTAAGGGTGCTAATATGCATTGAATATATTTGTATAATTTACATCTATTTGTTTTTCTGTCTCTGTTCACATATTTACAATCAGTTCCACTTAGCATGGACAAGCGCACGCAAAAAAAAATCCATCGTAATTTGACAAGAACAAAAATTTTAATTCAAACTGTATTAACCGTCATACAAATCTTCTACCAAAATGTAATTCTGTTGCGCTCTTACTATCTAACGAATGTCTAATTATAAGTGCCGCTCGTCCATACAATTTATTTCTCTCGTAACATGTGAAAAGGGTATCTTCGTCGATGAACTTCCTCCTGTGTCATTATCTCAGCTATGAAAGCATTTCCTGTGTAATTTGTATTACAAGTACAATCTACAAAAAAGTAACATCTGTCAACCTGGGCTAGAAATCCGTTACCGTGGTAAATAATAGAAAAACTCGATGGAGAGAATCAATCAGCGAAGGTAAGACCTTTTCATTATTCACATTTGGATAGCGCACATTTGAATACTTCGTCCTTTCGACACTTTGCTGTTTTCCACTAAAAAGATCAGTTGAACAAATATTGTATGGAACAATCGAACAAAACTTATTAAAATAATCAGTTTTAGTAGAAAATACGGTTGCGGAGGCGAACCAGCCTAAGGCTGAAAGCCTCCTAAATAAAGCTAAATTAATTAATTAGAAAATACGGAACTTAGTAGAAAACTGCAGCAAGTCCAGATAGAACGAAGTACCGCTGAAATAAACAACTTCCACATTTTATGTTTATTCTTTGTTAGGGCAAGAAATCTGAATCAAGCAATCTTTCATTAAACGAATAGAAATAAACATGTATTATTTTAACCATAGTCTTATTATTAACTTTGATAGTTCTAGATTAATTTATAAATCCTATCTCCATTTGCCGATAAAAAAAAACGATTAACTTAATCCGCTTTCTACCGCGACCTGAGCGGTGGATTTGCAATTCATGCATGCATTATTGCGACATGGACAATGGACATAGGACATATTCAAAAACTAATCGTGAATTCCTGACAGCCATGTGTAAAGATTGATAAATAATTGCTTCAGTTTACAAGCCCCCAAACAAAATACTCCCTATTTGTGGATGATGTTAATTTTTGGGTAATTTTCATTTCTTCGCCAACGCAAATCCTATCCCGAGAATGCCACCAAGAACAAGCGCAGCTCCCCCGGCCATTGCGACTCCCTTCAATCCTTCGATGTCCATCTTCTTCTTGATGTACTCTTCCAGGCTGATGACCTGCTGATTGTTAGGTTCGATTTCCAGGAAGGCTTGCACGTATTTCATAGCAGTGGAGTATTCCTTGAGCCGAGTGTAGGCAAGTGCCAAGTAGTAGATGTAATCGCGCTTACCTTCCGAATTCTTTTTGCATAGATCTTCCAGCAGTGTTATGCCCTAGAATGAACAAATGTAGATTAAGATTCGCTGCACACCATATCTAGAAAGCATATTATTTAGAAACCCATAAACTCTATCGATGACAAAGAATATCACTGACCGGGACCTAGTGGCAACAATTAAAAATTAAAACCAAAAATTATGCCCAGGTAACCTAAAATCAGCATTAATTCAGTACTGCAAGCCATAAAAAGTCTTCAATCTAGTGACATATTGTCCATATTTCCATAGATACTAATAAATTCTGCTGGTAGGGTAGTGAACTAGTACGGCATAAGAGCACATTTCCGTCATATCGAACAGAAACATAAAATATATCAATGATTTTTACGTGCACGAATCAAAGCCCCCCAGACTGGCGCGTTTTTAAGGCGGCGGCAGCAGCGAATAATTCGTGGCGGAAAATTCGCCGCGTTTTAAATGCATAGCGGCTTACGGAAGTGCTCAAACCAACGCGGCTAGTTTGCAGCGTTTCTTTTACGTTCGCTTTCGATTCGCTGTCTGCAGCGTTTTTTCCGCCGAAGAAGCGCGGTTTTTATTCTTGTGTGCTGGTGTTGTTGTAGGTACCTAAAATGATTTTCAGGTGATAAAAAATGGCAGAAACGGAAACCTTAGGGAAGCTCCATAAATTAAGTCACGCAAATTTGGCCCATTTTCAACCCCCCTCTCCCCTTTGTCAATTTTTTTGTATGGACCTTATTTTTTTGTATGGCTCGTCACAGTTTCCAAAACCCCCCTAAAAGTGTGACATAATTAATCGACCATACCTTAATATAATTGGTTCGAAACTATTTTTGTCAAAGATGTCTGAACTTGTAAATTTAATTTACTGCTCCCTGAAATTTGGCCAAGATCTCAGACTATCATTGGAATTTCTACAATATTCCCATCTACAAAACTCCCCGAATCGCCCCGAAATTCTCCAAATTCTAGCAGAGCTTCTATGTAGTTGCAAGAACTTCTACAAAATTCTTGCTCTGCTTGGAATTCGCTCAACATGTACAAAGATCGGTAAACTGCAACGAAGCAAGGAGAAATCTAGGGTATTTGTGAGGATAGTTGACCACCCACGATTTGTACAATTGGGTTCTTTAATTTTGAAAAATATATCGGTTTTTATATATCATCTGAAAGAGCTTCGTTTTCTGAGCACAGCGATATTTTTTTCGAAACCACACACTTTCATCCCGATTTTTAAATCAATATTTAAAGCAAAATAATAACATCACTGTTTGACACTAAACTGACAAACTGACAGCTCGCTCCCATACAAAGTGACACCGAGGGGCGCTAATAAGTTGATTTTTGCAAATGTAATCATTCTTATTTAAAATAGTTCCAGTGTACCAAAATTGATGAAATTTTGGGTTTGGGTTCCATTTCTAATGCAGATTACGAATATGCATTTACCTCAATACCCTCAAAGAATCCAATTGCATATGCTATGCTAAATCTAAGGAATATGTCAGTAGACCTACATTTATTTATAAGGAGAATTAAGAAACTGTAAGTTGAATTATAAGGGAAGGAGAAAATCCAAAGCGATTTCAGAAATTATCGCAAATACCCAAGACTTCAGTATGATCATATTCCTGGAAATATTCAACAGCTCAACACGCAGAAGGTATGAAGTTCTTCACATTTCCCTGAAGTTCTTCGAAATTCCGTGATATTCTATGAACTTCCTTGAACTTTCACAAATTCCTCGGAAGTGATGTTTTCAATCTTCAACTTGAATTTCTTTGATGATCTACGAACTTTCCTGAAGTTTTGTAAGCTTCCCTAATGTTTTGCACATCTCTCTTATGATCTATTAACATTTCTGAAATTCTGTGAACCTCTTTGAAATTCTGCAAAGTTTTTTATATCTACGAATTTTTCTGAAGTTCTGCAAATTTATCTGAAGATACACAAACTTTCTTTGAAGTTTTGCAAATTTCTCTGAAGTTATGCGAACTTCCCTGATGTTCTGTCTATGAAATTTCCTGAAAATCTGCAAATATATCTGATGATATGCATTCCAGGGGAAGTTAAGTTTTGTAATTTTTTCTAAAGATTGACAAACAAAACTGTAAACAAATATCACTAAAATGCCAAAAGACTTCAACGTATTTTCCTCTGCTTGTAAAGAAACTAGCAAAAGCGCCTCTTCTTCATCCGACGACGAATCCATTGCTCACGATCTCCCTGTAAGGTACATTAATCATGAAATGGCTAAACCCATAAGAAGGAGCTATTTAAGTGCACAAACTTCTCCGAAAACACTATATGGCTTAAATGGACCGTTTTTGCATAAACTAAAAAACGCACGTTTTGGCACTTTTAGACCACTGTGCGCTGCACAGAGGAGTAACTGGAACAAAAACCTGGCCAAAATTATACTCACTGGTTTTGAGCAATTTTCTGCTAACACATATTAAAATATTTAATAATAATAGGTTTTTAGACTTCTGTTAACTTTGAATTTTAAAATCCATCTACTTAGCAGTGCATATCTGGCCTTTCATCATCCATACGAATAAAAAAAGTAATGGGTTTTGAGAGTAGGATTTTTTTTATTCTTCTGCTTAATATAAGGATTATTTAACAAAAAAGAGTAAAGAAATTATTGAAGAATCATTGCCCTGCATTAAAAAAAATAATAAAAAATAACGAAAGTTTTAAAAACATAACTTGCGATTTCTTACGTTCGATTAGTTAGAATCTTTGTATTCAATATTGAGTCGTTTGCGGTTACCGTGCACAGAATCTGCTTTATTTTCATTTGTTATCGCCAACTATGACGCTCTGCTAGTTTAGCTTGAACAAACTTACACAGAGAAAAAAAATTACCCTAAATTTAAGTTATTTTTTCTTAATTTTGAGTAATTTTGAGTTTTGCATCCCACTCTCACTTTTTGTTGTTGTCAAAAACGGAACGAGAGATTCGACTTTCTCATGACTATCGTTTGATAAGCTACTAGTGAGTATATGAGATATTCTCAAATTTGAGTCAATTGAACTTAATTTTGGGTAGAAAATACATACGAGTAAGTAATTATTTTTGCCGTAGCCAAATGCAAACTACTATAAGCGGTTTACTGAAAATTAGCTTATTGAACGGAACATGGGAGATGAGTGAAAAGAACTTAATTTTGGGTAATTTTTCGGTTCCGTGTATGTGTATCTAAAATCGAATGAGTAAATGTGTGTGTGTGTGTGTGTGTGTGTGTGTGTGTGTGTGTGTGTGTGTGTGTGTGTGTGTGTGTGTGTGTGTGTGTGTGTGTGTGTGTGTGTGTGAGAGAGTAATACAACTAAATGGCACTCGTTAATTTTCAAAATTTACAGTAATCTACCTGAAAAGTGAAATACTTTATGGGGTAAACGGTCTGTGATAAACATTGAATTACAAGGCAAAGCAACCTTACTCTTGCTACACACACAAATTATAAAAATAAACTAATGACACATGGTTTTTCTAGCGTTACATTCCTTAATGCTAGTACATCAATTGAGGTACTAGATTTAAAAAGCAACATTAGTAAAATTATGCTGGCCATGGGTATCGAACCGGGAGTAGTTTACTGAAGTGTAATTTTAATCTAGTACCACAATTGATGTAATAGATTAAAGAAGGACAGAAGTAGTACTCGGTAAGATTGTCATAGGTATCTGCAGAAAACCGTTGTGTTACGGAAGTTTTCTGGAAGTATGACTTATAAAGGGATAAAATTTTGCCACGAAATGATGCAAAACATGCCATTTTCAAATGGCTCGCAATCGCCAATCCGGAAGACTCCGGACGAGATTCCAATGCCAATGTGTTCATAATAACGTGAACTTTCATTCGTCCATAAATTATATGATCTGATCGCGCAAGATTCTACAACTTTTTCAAGTCTGAAACAGCACAAAAAAACATAAAAAAATACATTTTTTTCATATTGTTGAAAAATAAGACATTATTTAAATTTAAAGGTTTTTATGTAAGAAAAGAGCCCAAAATACCCATTTTATTATAACACTTGTCTCTTGATCAAATTGTTTATATCTGGTAGGCGTAATTATTACATGGTTACTTTTTGGAAAACAAGAAGCTTCGAATTTCTTCAGTTTTTGAACACGTCTCAAAATTTGTAAACAAAATGTAACGTTTTTATTCCATTGCCACTTTATGCTGCATATATTGAAATATATAAAAAAATATAGAAGCATGAAAAATCAAGAAAATCTTATTTTCTTATTTTGGCCAGGTTTTTGTTCTAGTTACTCCTCTGTGCGCTGCCGCGGTGTAAAAATCGCGCTAGTTTGGGGGGACCTTCAATCATACATTTCAAGCTGAATTAGGTCCTAAGTAGCATTGATCGATTCTCTTCGTCGACTTTCTCTTTCGTAAATAACTTGAGCACCGACTTTGTTTACCCCCCTGACGATAATAAGTTAAGGTATTGCCGAAGCCGACATTTCCCCTACGCAAACAAACTTTAGTAGAGTCATGGGGACTCGAGCACTTCTGGCACAGCGTTTTTGGCGGGAATGAACTGAGAAATAGCATAACTAATTTTACATTTGCAAAAATTTTCAAGCAATTTTGCATTGGCTTGCAATATAAAAACGATTGACTCCGCAGTACCCAGCCATTATCCAAGGTTTTTGTTAAAATATGTAGTGGCATAATAAATGCAGAACAGAAAAGTACATTTTCTCACTGCACACTGGACAATCTCATACAATAACTACACGCTGAAAGCAAAACAGTGTATTTTGCTACGCCTATTTTTAATTGATTTCAATGGCAGAAATTTTCATGAAAAAATAACAAGCTATACAATAAATTCCGTGTATGCTATTTGCCTTTCTCTCCCAGATTTTACCTTTTTTTTTTTTCTTGACCAATGCTACCGACGCCAGGGAGGCAGCTCCCACACCTGGACCCTACCTATCGATCCATCAACTCACGGCTTTACTTCCCTTCCAAAGGCGTGATCAGAGATTTTATACCTTTCAAAATTCCGGCGGCGCCGACTGGGATTGAACCCAAGCCTTTTGGGGTGAGAGGCAATCACGCTTACCATTCCACCACCGGCACCGCTGTACAGGTTGTACCTTCATTCTACAAGCATATATTATGTGATGTGATACAGGTTTATTGATATGAAATGTCGTACTTATTATTTCCTAGTTTTTATATTATTCACGATATTTTCTGTACAAAACATGTAACTTTTAGTGCACATTTTACAATCGATTCTAATTGAAAACTCATTTCTGACAATCCATCATGAGACTGTTATGCTTTTATTCACGTAATATATACTATAGTGTGATTAATAGGAGTATTAACATATGAATTTTTCCTTTTATGATGTTTGAAGATTATCAAAATGATCAAATCAAAAACATTTGACGCCGTGTTGAATCCGTGATGCGTAGGCAAAATTTGGTTCTCTGTATCCCCCTGATTCTTACTGTCGAATTGCATTCGATGAAATCAGTGTCAACATTTCAAAGGGGCGTAATTGAATTTGTAAACAATGGCTTTAGCCGTCGATTTCTCGTGAATAATAGCTTACTCATCAAGATTAATGACACCAGCAGGTAGAGGAATGTTTCATTTACCAGCTAGTATTGTTAATTTGGAGGGATGGGCTTTTATTTGCGAGAAATCGATAGCTAAAGCCACTCTTCTTAATAAAAAATAAAAAATAAAATTCTACAAATAAATGATGTTGAGTTGTCAAAGACTCGCGCTTATTCCTGCTACACTACACCAGTGCTACACCGCAAAAACGAAAACGACATAAAACGCGAAGTGCACTCAATTTGTCAACTTTCCTTTCCAAATATAAACAATTAACAACGCCATTGACGTCAACATTGATTCCGGCATCACTGCCAGCCAGATTGATGCCCTCTGTCCTCCAATGACGTTTATATAGGGTCTGGGCCAAATTTTTTTTTTTTTTTTTTAATTCTTTATTTAAGAGATTTTTAGCCTTAGGCTAGTTCATCTCTAAGGTCTGGGCCAAAGGGCTTATTGGTGTTAGTGAAATGTGCAAATGTTTAGTGGTGTTCGTATTTTATTGCAATGTTTATCTTTTAACACGAAACAGCTGTTAGCAATGACGTATTTCTATCTGTTCTCAGTATGTTGGCAGTGACGTATTTCTATCTGTTCGGAGATGTTCAGCAATGTTTACAACATTTTTGCTTCTAACACCAGCAAGCTGCCTGTTGGCCCAGACCTTATATAAATTTCATTGTCTGTCCTCTTTATTCCACGATTGCTACTGCCAAATCGACCAATCAGAAACTGGCTTGGATTTGAAAGCAAATTGGCCTGAAATCGCTACCCGATTGCCAAACAACCTGGTCTGGTCTATACAAGGTGTATGGAGGTCTAGCCCTCACGTATGGGTTGGTAAAGGGAAAAAGGTAAACATTGCGGGAGAGGATGACCACGACGTCATAGCACTCGAAAGCAAATTTGTGAAATATGAAGTACAGCAAATTCTAGATATGTTTGCATGATGATTGCGCTTGCTTGTATGCTCTTGTAAAGTATCCGGAAAATATCAGCAGGCGTTTTGTATTTTTATAGTTGTTGAAAAAAATAAATCGGAAGTGAATGTTTTCAACAATAAACTACATTTATCTACATGGAAAGTTTTAATTAATTGAGGACACAGTTTTAATAACAAATTACTAGCCATTGGCCAAACATTTGTTTGGAACTTCATTTTGAACTTTTGTGCACGAAACAAAACAAAACAAAACTGCACAACGAAGAGCTCATTGATGACTTGAACATTGTTCAAGGATGCCAGTAAGAACATTTATTTTTCATAGGTTCAAAAAAAAAACTTGTTCTGCCTCCGCTAATCTATGGAATCTATAGTATCTATCAAAAGAAAATTTTCATTATGCCGAAAGTGACATTCGCACCGATCCGAGAAAAATATAGTTTTGATTGGATGACCGAAAATTTATTCCTATTTCCAATTAAACACATATAATCTCACATCGATAGCAATTTTTAACATATTAAGCAGGGTTTTAATCATAGAAAGCAGATCGCAAGTTTTCATGCTATAAACTACTGGTTTTTTAGTCAAACGTTATTATACGTCGTTTGGTGGCCCCATAAGTCAAGGTGTATTCAGAATATTCGAGAGAATTATCAAATAACGTTTCCTTACGTGCAGCCCATTCATCATTTTAGGCTCACCGAAAGCAACAAACAGTTCGATTTATTCACTTTAATAATGAGAAAGTGAGACGACGAATGTAAGTATAGAAGTAAACATATAAAACATCATTCCTTCTCCCTAAATAATTATTCCAACACCCCAGCCACTGGAAGTGCAACGCATCAAAATCATTACTAAACGCTGCAGTCCATTGCAAGAACAACTGTTATTGCATTTGTTGTATGAAACAAATGCAGAGGATTCAATAAATCGAACCTTACATTGGATGTAAGAGAAATTTGTTTTCCGTGTATGCTTATTATTGGGAAAATTTGAAAAGTTCTACCACTGCTATTGGAAAATCATATGGGCAATTAACCCTACAGCCGTGTTAAGTTTACTTCCAGTTTCCCTGTTCAACTTACGCTCTTCATGTCGTTGGCATAGTTACTCCGCACTAGACACCATGCATATTCGAACTGAGTCGTGTGTGTTAGGCTCTTGCTCTGCAGCTCTCGGTTGTACTTCTTCTCGAATTTCTGAAAAATGAAGCAGTGGCATAAATAAATCGTCCTGTTGGCTTCCAGTTATCGGTCCAGTGTTCAATATTATTATCTTAAACAGAATGATTCATTAAACTACCATTGTCAGTTTCTTGTTCTTCTTTCCACGGATGATGAAATCATAGGTTCACAAAAAAAAAATCGTTACGTGTAAACTTACCTCGAGCTCGGATTGTGGAACCGTCTCGTTTAAAATTTCCTCCATCTCCATACTCATGACCAGACCAATAAAATACCAAATTACTTTACGATAAAAACAATTTGAATGATATGCACCGATTGAAATAATGAACTTATCCTGTTGACTGACTGAATAATACGACGTGAAGTGAAGTAGGATTTTGTTACTGCTTTGTTTTGACGTATGACGTATCGGCGTTGACGGCACCGTCGAAAAATTTGCTCTCAGCAGCAAATATAGACAGTTTCTTATGGGAATTTTCGATGGAGTGAAAGGATAGTACAAAGTCCACGCTGTTTTACGCACAGCCTGACGTTTGCTTACGGATTTTCTCATAGGAGTAAAGAGCTGCAGAGTAGCTGTCAACGCCAATACGAAAAAGTGGGAAAGGTATACGGATATTCTGACACACATACTTGTGTGCGTGTGCAATGAAGGTCTGAAAGCAAGGAAAGCAATCGTCGCGGCGACGTCTGCACTGAGAATATAATATTTTATAATATAATAAATATTATTTCCCTAATAAAAATTGTATGGTTAATTTGCTTAACGACGTGTTCTGGGTATCATCCAAACAATTTGTGGAATAGTTCAATGATTTGGGTTATCGTTCGTTTATGGTTATTTTTTATTAGGGTTGCTACCGGTACCGCACGGGCAAGAATCATATGAATTTTGGCGGTAGCTCACATCAATGTGATGAATATAGTGGGTGAGGATGACTGCAACAGACTACTCTTTTTTCTAGCATTCCGCACTGCGATGCAGTTGAGAAAGAGTAAGCTGTTTTGTTCTGTCATACTTCCGGCAGTTTATCATACCGCTGTCAGTTTGCTCAAAAGTGTCAGATTGCCCAAAAATGTCAAAATCATGTGAGTAAAGGCCCAAGCGCAATGACAGCCGAAGCGGAACGGCAGCGGCAGCGGAAAAGCTCGATCTGAGAAAGCCTATAGGCATTAAAGAACCCTAATAAACGTGTACCATATACTGACGATATCTTAGATGGTGCGACTATACCACATAAAATTGGGATGATATCCCGAATTGGCGGTTAGGCGCATCTTATGGTTATTGTTTATGCGGGAACGCATTAAAGGTATAGGTGACCGCTTATATCATTCCTTTTGACACATGAGCTTCATTAGTTGACTTATACATTTTAGGAATAATCAGCAATAGAAATTTGCCAAAAGGTAGGGGAAACCCTAATAAAAAATTACCATAGGCGAACGATAACCCAAATGGTTGAACTATTCCACAAATGGTTTGGATGATACTCCGAACACGTCGTTAAGCAAATTAACCATAACATTTTTATTAGGGAATGGCTCTAATGTTGGTCTATAGATCTAAGATTGGGCCCATCGCTAAAAATCTGCTATTTATCAATTTTATCTAGATGAACGCGTCATTGGGACGGTACTAATGGATATTTTTGGTCGCTATTGAAAATTTAGTCTTTTGCTGAATTTATGTATGGGCCCAAACTAGGGGCATTTAGGCCGACATTACATCCGTTTCCCCTATAAGGAAATTTCTACACGCAGAAAAAAGTATCGTCGAAACAAAAATATTTGAGGTAAATTTAAACGTAAATTCAGTTTGTTCTGGCCACAAACATAAATTAGGTTGATTTCAAACGTATTTCTTGTTTGAAGCCATGTGAAATCAATGTTTAAAATAAAAATAATGTAACGTTTATTTCAAAAATATTCGTGTTGAAAATAAACGTATATATTTTTGTTTGGTTTGACAGCTACACGCAGAAAAAACACTGAGGCGTAAACCAAAAAAATATTTTGTTATTATTCAATGCAAAATTTCTATTTGTTTCAGTTCATAAACAAGTTTCAAATTAATACAGAAGCCCATTTAAATCAAACCAATAAAATTGTTTAAACCTGTTTTTGATAGTTGTGTGTGTAGTGCACGTTTCAAACTGTCAGTCGACATCGTTGTTAGTCAAAAAGGTTCTCCGTATGGAAAGTCTGCCTTCGATCGTTAATCTTAACAAGTAAGTTTTAGCTTTTTATGTCTAAGTATAAAGTTTCTCAACTAGCAATCAACCTTAACTAACATTTGAAATTTCAGTGTTGACGTGTGATAGGGCACAATTTGCATGAGGATTTGGTTCGGTTGAACCAACGAGAAGGTGAAGATGGAGATTCCAACTTGGATAGAAGCTGAATAAATTCAGCAGCGTGGGAATCATTTAGAAATGAATAATGACAAGTTGTCAGAAGTGCATCTTCAAGAGGGTGCATACATTTGGGCGTGGCTGAGCATATCGGAAACTTCGATGTTGTGACCCGGAGAACCAGGTGGGTTTAGATGTGGAAACTGAATGGTTCAAAACGAGCCTTTTTTTAGAATATTCTACCATTATAGGAACTCCTCCTCTGCCATTCAGTATGCTGCACCGTCTAAGGCTCCATCTAAATGCGTCAACACCAGCAACTGCAGCAGAATCTCCACTAGCAGCAAAACAATGTTCAAAATTACCACAAACAATAACGTAAGAATCTACACCATGGTGCATTGAAAGGCACACAAGGAAAACAATTTTTTCCACCGATTCACGCACCAAATGCTTCAATGCAATGAGCTGATTGACTGATTAATAATTTAATAAAAAAACAGTGGATTAGTTAGAAAATTGATTGAAATTATAATTGAGAAAATATTGGTTTATTTTTTAATAATGACAGCTAATCTGACCTGGGAGTTTTAATAAATTTGATTTTGAAATAATAGAAATAACGTTTCAATACAACTAAGAAACGATAATTACTTTAAATAATGCTTCAACTCAATTTAAGCAAACATTTTTTTCAAATCAATAAAAATCGATGTTCAATTCAATAAAGTTAGTAGTATTATTCCAACTCAATTTTGTTGTTGAATTAATCCATCAATTTTATTGATCCATGTTCTATTCAAAACTTTGTTTAAAATGAAACATAATTTGTTTGGTTGAACCATGTTTTTTTCTGCGTGTATGCGAACAATAATAAATATGTTTATTTTAAACATGCTTCTCATGTTTAAAATAAACATACATATTTTGGAATTATTTTAGTAGTTGAGTGCAGGGTAAAGCAAAATAAAACGGTTTGCAAAGAAATGAAAAAAAGAACTTATGGGGCAGGGCATCTAAATTCCTGCTCTTTTTTCGGGTGCGATTAAAGGTGACCTGTGGGTATTGGGGTCCTGGTCCGGGATGCGAGGACCCGTCGGGGTGGGTTTCCGGGGGTTTCAGTTCAGTGGAACCGGTGCAAATTTGTGTTATTAGCGTCGTTTTGCCGTTTCTGCCTCGGTTTCTGCCACTCGTCCTCATACCGGTTTCTTCCCATGTTCGGTATCGGAGGAGGATCCGGATTGGATTCGGAATGGATGGCCGTTTTCTGTTGAGGTTGAGCAAAGCTGGGGCAACTTTTTCCGAATGTAACAAGAAGGAAATAAAAAGGCATGACACGCTAAAAACCGTTTACCCAAATCCTATATTGTTGAAATAAACATGGTTTTGAATTTAATTCAAACATAAATATTTTAGCTTTAAACATGCTTTCAATTTACTTTGAATAATTCATATGTTTAGAGTATAAACATTTATATTTTTGTTTTAAATGAACAAAATTCGTATCCGTAGAGGAAATTCTCAACTATTGTACACCAGTACCGGTACCGGTAAAGCTGTAAACCGGAAGTACCCACTAGCGACAATCGATTTTACTCTCGTTCTGTACTTTGAACATAGTTCCGGAAGTAGTGCGCGGAATAGCACAACATTATGAGATTACAGCACCAACAAACCAACATTACACTTAATTCTCACTTATGCCCGAAAATCGTAAACGCCGATTTAAATTTGCAGTGATCCGAACTGTCAAAACCATAGGATTTTTTAACTAGATAAAAATGATTTGTCCAGAATAGATCAGACATGAACTAATTCATAACTTTTGCATGCGGGTTCATCGCTTAGCTAAATACTTCCCGTGAACACGGAACCAGATGTCAGTAGTGTGCTTTGGCCAGATTTTTTTTTTGTTTTTGCTATGGTCATTCACGCAGAAAAATTTACCGTTGAAACAAACATATTTGAGGTAAATTTAAATGTAAACTCAGTTTGTTCTGGCCACAAAAATAAACTAAGTTGATTTCAAACGTATTCCATGTTTGAATCCATTGTTAATAATATTTAAAACAAAAATAATGCCTATAAAGTTTGATTACATTCTTGTTTCAGCCGAGGGGCGATCAACTTCATAAATCAGCTGAATTGTATATAGACACTTCGGAAATTACACAAAAAAAAAAATACCTAAATGCGTACACGCTTAAACTAAAATACCATAATAAAAATTCTAAAAAATACCTTGAAAATACTTTGTATACGAAAAATACATTTCATAATGAATTTAATATACCTTAATACAAAAATACACAAAACATAAACATACATAAATACGGAAAAATACAAAATACATCATGAGTAAAGGTATCCTTTGAAAAGCACAAACCTGTCAACTAAACCGGTCGAACTATTTTTTTTCGATTGAGATTGCCTTAAAAATCCATATTTTTTGGGCCTTATCTGAGCAATGTTTCCAAAACTAAACATAATTACTAATGTTTTGCAAGAATATAATATATTATATCAGGCATAACATTTGATAACGGCACAAAAGCATTTGTAAACAAACTTTCTAAGGCCCTTTACACGCGAACCAAAGTACGCCCACGCAAATCAATACCACTTTCGGAAAGGTGATAGTTGCCCCTATCCGATGATGTTGTTCGTTTGCGTGGGCGTGCTTTGATTCGCGTGTAAAGGGCCTTAGAAAGTTTGTTTATAAATGCTTTGTGCCGTTATCAAATGTTATGCCTGATATAATATCAGTGCTAATATTTGAAAACGGCGCAAAAGCCATTTGTAAACAAATGGTTTGTGGGCCCTTTACTCGCTACCCGAAGAACGCCCACGCAAACCAACAGCATCGTCAGGAAGGGGAAAATTTCCCCTACCCGATGTTGCTGTTGTGTCGCGTGGGTGTACTTCAAGTAGTGAGTAAAGGGCCCACAAACCATTTGTTTACAAATGGCTTTTGTGCCGTTTTCAAATGTTAGCACTGATATATTATATTGTATCTAAAGC